GTAGCTAAAGCACAGCTGGAGGGCCGGAGTTGCCCACCCATGCCGTAAGTGGTATAAAGGTACCGAAATGAAGTGGAGAAGAAAAGTCACCTGCTTTTTTTTTTTTCTTTTTGGCTTTTAGCAGCGTGCCGCCATGTTTGGTCTTGTTACAGATGACATCACTGTTATTTAGAGACCTTGAAGCTGATCCAGCATACAAATGGGCAGACAGTAGCCCTCGTTAAGTCTCCTGTATTTTTAACCTCTCGGCTCAGAGTCCCTTTCAGTCACCCTAAACCTCTGGCTGCCCTCCGGCGCTGCGCATGCCTCATAAGCAGATGTCGCCTCTCCCCGCGCTCTTTATTGAATTACCTCACTCGTCAGACCAGTTTGGCCAGTCCCTGCCTACTGTCATCCTTTTTAATGTAAAGTTTGTCCCGCAGCGCTGCCGGGTAATCTAATCACCGGCGCAGCCAGCGCGGAATGTTTGGATGAACTTTGGCTGGGGACCGTCCAATATGTCTAATGAAGCATTGAGCGTTAATGTGAAGTCTGCTGATTGTGAGCTGCGGTGCTTCGTCCCTCGGGGCGAGGAATGAAAATTTGGGCTGGTTACCAATGTCACAAATTAAAGTAGATCGAGACATTGGAGTTTTGTTCTGTTTTTTTAATGTAATAGTTCATATTTTTAATGATTACACATTTGCAACTTCACATTTTGACATACTTGCTGTGCCGTTGTTGCAAAAGCACAGAGGACCTGGCTGCATGCAGGCAGGGGTAGGCAAACTTTGGCCCTCCAGCTGTGGTGCAACTACATATCCCATAAGGCTAGGTTCACACCTAGGCAATTTATCGCGCAAAACACATTCGCATTGAAGTCCATGGAAGCTGTTTTTTGCAGTTTTTTGTAGAGACGAAATCGCCTGTCGTGCAAAAGTTGCAGGAGCTATTTTCGTCTGGTTGCCGCACGGTTTGGGTCCCATAGACATCCCTATGCATTGAAAACCGCGCAAACTGAAACAGCTCAGCAGCTCAATTGCCTAAGGCCTGGTTCACACCTAGGCGATTTCTCGCGCAAGACACAATTGTATTGAGGGCCAGTGCACACGGTCCTATGCGACACTCCACCGCGCGGCAATTGTGCACGATTCTGCGCGGATTGCCGAACGGTCAGGAGTCGTATAGCTGTGCACCTATCACGCTGTGGGTGCCAATATTTTCCAATGGCGTGCCAGGCGGATTCCCGCCATGATTCTGCCCGCGCTTCTGAACACAATCGCAGCTGCCGCGCATTGTGTATTGCAGAAAAAAGGTACAAGTGTCGCATAGGTGTGCACCTGCCCTGAGGTCTATGGAAGCTGTTCACGCCTTCGTGATTTGTGGCGCAGTAGAAATCGCCTGTCGTGCAAAAAGGTGCAGGAGCTATTTTCGGGCGATTGCCGCGCATTTTGGGTCCCATGGACTTTGACTGAAAAATCGCACGTTCTGTTCAATAGGTGATTTTTGAAGCGATAATTGCGCGATTACAGCATGACGCAGCTTATGACAGAAACAGAAACTTGGGTCATGGCTGTTTTTTGCTTCTGATTGGACACCTGTACATCTCTATGGAGAACAAAACGAGCGATCTTATGAACAAAATTGCTCAAAAACCGCCCCCCAAAAAAGCATTAAAACCGCACGACAAACGCTATTTCCTAGGTGTGAACCTGGCCTAAGTCATCGCAAGACTCGGACCGCCACAGTCATGACTCCCAGAGGCTGATGCATGATCGGATTTATAGTCTCACCACAGATGTAAGGCCGGAGTTTGTCTTTGACAGGATCTGTGAATGGGGAAACTGCAAGTCCCATCAGCCACCGCGGCAAAGGGACTGTGGGTCTCAATGGAATACGAGTGGGGTGACATCACACACTTGTAGTGTATTGACACTTCCTCCCTTCCATGGCACTGAATGTCTATACCTCAGTACGAACGGGAGGCAGAGTCTGCAGTAATCAGGGAATTGCACCCGCCATCCACTGATCATGGTTGCAATACTTTACTGACTCCTATACAATCAAATATTACATGCACATTTTTTTCTTTTCTAAACAATTGTGTATTTATGTTTTAAAAAGTTGGAATTTCCCTTAAAATTTTAGTTTTTGGGTTTAGATACTCTTTAAAGTGTATTCTCCTTTAACTGGGTCTTCCAGGTAATTAGAGGTTATTTAGAAGCTTCTGACTCAGAATTTTCTTTTGATGCTAAAAATATTGTAATAAAACCTTCCCCTGTTCTCCGTCTCTTTCATATGGAGTAAGTACGTCACCGCCCGTTCATCAACCCTTGGGTGTGTGCAAGCCGCTTTAATGTACGCAATCCTCCCGGCACACGTTCCGTCTTTTTGATTAAAAAAAACCCACCCTCTTGGTTCAAATTAAGGCAGCAACAGCTGGGGCATGGGCTCATTCTTGCCTCAGATATCAGCAGCTTTGTATCCGCTATGGGAAGATTCAGAGAGAATCTGTAGCTGGTTTCTTGCGCCTCAAATGTGGCAGCACAACCTCCTCGTTGGCTCCTCTCTCCTCTACAAAACCCAGCTTGATGCAGTCATCGTAATCCATACCAGAGAGTGAGACCCTTTTATGATGGCGCTTGCGGATGGGTGGAGCATAGAGAGCGCGCCTCTATGATCACTGGAATGTATAAGAATCTGATGGGTGGTTCAGATTATTGGCCTCTAACCAAAGGTGAATTTTGCCTGGACTGATTCTTTTAATGGGAATTTTCACCCAAAACTGAGTAAACTGGTAAATGCTGTAAATTTTACATATTTCTTGGGGCTCTATATTGGTGAGATTGCTGAATTTCCAGCTCTGTGCACCTGCCATGCCCTTTATGATCCTATTATCCATGTGCTGAGTTCCAAGGTCTGTACATCTTTGTGCCCATTATGAGGGGTTCACATCATTCATGTACGGAGCTCCCAGGTTCTGCACCCCTGCTGTGCTCACTATGAGGGGTTCTCATCATCCCTATGCTGAGTTCCTGGCTCTACACATCTGCTGTGCCCATTATGAGGTGTCCCCACCATCCCTGGGCTGAGTTCCTGGCTCTACACATCTGCTGTGCCTATTATGTGGTGTTCCAACCATCCATGTGCTGAGTTGCTTGGTCTGTAGTGTACACCTGATGTGCCCATTTTGAAAAGTTCCCCCCATCTCTGAGCTGAGTTCCTGGATCTGTACATCTACTGTGCCCATTATGAGGGGTTCCCACCATCCCTGGGCTGAGTTCCTGGCTCTACACATCTGCTGTGCCCATTATGAGGGGTTCCCACCATCCCTGGGCTGAGTTCCAGGCTCTACACATCTGCTGTGCCCATTATGAGGGGTTCCCACCATCCCTGGGCTGAGTTCCTGGCTCTACACATCTGCTGTGCCCATTATAAGGGTTCCCATCATCCCTGTGCTGAGGTTCTGGGTCTGTACACCCGCTGTGGAAAGTAATTTTCTGCACCCTTGTATTAGAAGCAATGTATTGTAACGGAATTCCACAGAGAGCTGCTTTCCATTGTGACAAGATTCATCACAAACCGTTATGACAGCCCTGACCAGGCAGAATGAGAGGGGAATTAACCTGCCACAGATGATTAGTGAGGATTCGTACTGCAGCTGTAAATGTCTCTGGAAGATGAATGTTCCCTTCCAACCTCGCGTGTAACTTCAGCAAGTTTATAGGAAACTTTTCAGGCATTCACTTTTATATTGTGATCTCAATTCACAGAGTGCTACAAATTCAACCTCGCTGTACCACCTCTCTTATATGCTGGGTGTCATTCTCGGTATCTGTTCTTATTCTGCATGTATGGACTCTGCATAGTACTATTTCTCTTGTCCTGTATGCTGGGTGTCATTCTCGGTACCTGTTCTTATTCTGCATGTATGGACTCTGCATAGTACCATTTCTCTTGTCCTGTATGCTGGGTGTCACTCTCAGTATCTGTTCATATTCTGCATGTATGGACTCTGCATAGTACCATTTCTCTTGTCCTGTATGCTGGGTGTCATTCTCGGTACCTGTTCTTATTCTGCATGTATGGACTCTGCATAGTACCCTTTCTCTTGTCCTGTATGCTGGGTGTCATTCTCGGTACCTGTTCTTATTCTGCATGTATGGACTCTGCATAGTACCATTTCTCTTGTCCTGTATGCTGGGTGTCATTCTCGGTATCTGTTCATATTCTGTATGTATGCACTCTGCACAATACACCTCCGCTTGTCCTGTATGCCGGGTGTCATTCTCAGTATCTGTTCATATTCTGTATGTATGGACTCTGCACAGTGACACTTCCTGTACCCTGTACATATTCTGTGACCCCCGAAGCCCTTCTCTCCTATGTGCCGTCTCTCTGAGTACAGTGGGATATGTTCTTCCAGCAGATGCGTCGTCCCCTCTCCTCGTGTCTTCTCCATCCAGAGTCGTCCTGGTTGCTCATATATGGCTCTATTTATCCTTCTGCTGAGTAGAATCCAAACTTGGCTTTACAAGATTGTAATATAAACCTCGTCATGTTCACAGCTCTTATCGGAGGGGTTTATGAGAGGGGCCGTCCTGTTCAATATCACCGCTCTGTAGTAGAAATGGGTTTCTCTGGAACAAAAGTGTTCTCATGGCACGTCTTTTATTATTCAGATTTTAGTTATTGCTGGAGGCTCCTGGCCTGTGTCACTAATGTATATACACACACATATTTGCTGCTTTTCTAGAAGTAGTCTGTGCTTGCCCCTTCCCGTACCTGTCACCTCCCTACAAAGTGTTTTATGGAGAAGCGAAGGGCTGACCGGCATTAAGGCTTGAAGCAGCAGAAAACTCAAAGTAACCTCAACCAATCTTAATGAATACAAACATTATTACATTGTTATTCATAATAAAGGTGAACGTTTGCAATTAATATATCCCGTTCACTTTAGTTTTTCGTTTTCTGTCTGGTCCCCAGCGATTAATCATTGCTATTTTGTTTTTGGATTTCAGGGCCTGGGAACGGCGGCTTTCAAGAATGATGACAGACGCGAGTGAGATGTTGGCCGCAGCCTTGGAGCAAATGGATGGGATTATAGCTGGTGAGTCTTATCATAATGAGGGACATAAGGCTGCATGAGACGTCTCCCTATGAGGGGACAATGGGGGCCCTTCTGTGTTTTTAATACGTTTTACAATATTTTGCTATGCTGTGCCTTAAACTGGCTACACGCTGTACAATCTGATTATACAAGTCACTTAATTGACAATTATGTACCTAAACATCTCATTCTGCTTATGTCCAAGCTCATATATGTTGATCAATCTGCAGCTCACCCTACACATCTAGGTATAAATTATTATGCATGCTTACACTGATCCAGCTTGGCCCAATGTAAGTAAGCATATGCCATAATTGATCGGCCCACATGGATCCTGTAATGCACCATAATAGCCAGAGCTACTGCAGTGCTGGCAGGGATCTTCCAGGTCCTGTATGGTGCACAGCAGCCAATTAGATGATGCCTAGTATTTTTATCAATGAATACAAGGCATTCTCTGATTGGACCAAAAAAGACGAATCGTGCAGCGAAATCAGAGTAAGCAATTCATGTACATCTGTACAAGACTGAAGATGAGGCCAGAGTTCAGCTTTAAAATTCCATTCTGAGCTGGCGATCCATAAAATTTCCATTTGTAATCACATGGCTGTCCGCCACTAACATGAGAGCAGCTGCCACCGATTCCTTCACTGCTGGGAAAATAGATAATTGGGTCTCATACTGGACTGCACAGAGTTTACACCCAATTAGATGCAGCCTGATATATAAACTTCATGGCACATGGGCGCCTGCACCCGTATATTTGTCTGTATTTGCCCCACCAGGGAACCACAGGTACTAGTCTGCGACAGCCTCCCATATAAATCATTACCTGTACGTAGCTGTAGGTGGTACGTGGGCGTGTGTTTACGGAAGTACCACATATACCCACCTAAACCCACATGCACCGATTGAGTTATATAGAAAGTTGTAATTGGCACCTGTGGCTGCCTGGTGGGGTAGATATGGCCGACACCTACATACAGGTGCAGACGCTTTTTCTCTTTAGTTTTAGAAATAGTAGGGGGTTGTTGGAACCCGTGACCGTTTTTTGTGAGGTCTGCGTCTTGTTTGGGAGATTTCACTTCCTGTTCTGGAGGCACAAGGGGAAGTGAGAGGAATTTCCCCAAAGTAGAGAAAAACCCCACTTAGATGTCACCTGGACAGGTGTCCCCATTTGAAGATTTCCCCTCTGTATCTGTAGTGGTGACAACTGTAAATTTTAGGATATGTAACAACTGTCCCACTGACCATGGATAGCAGGATAAGTAGAGATAGTTACTCTCTCTAGCGGGGTCACAGTGATAGAAAATCTGACAGTGGTTCGAACTGTTATAATTTAGATTTTAATCCCGGAATCCACCTTCTGTGTGGAAGTTCATTGATGGAGAAAAAAAACAAAAACATTTGTCTTGCACATGACGAACATCCAACTAATATTGTGTCTTCTCTGCAGGATCCAAGGCCCTGGAGTATTCCAATGGCATTTTTGATTGCCAATCACCAACCTCGCCCTTCATGGGGAGCTTACGAGTCCTCCATCTTATCGAGGATCTACGAGGAATGCTGGAAATGATGGATACAGATGAGAGGGATGGTCTGAGGTGTCAAGTGCCAGACTCCACCGCCGAGACCCTGGTGGAGTGGCTTCAGAGCCAGATGGTGGTAAGGGATTTCTTTGCTGAACATCAGAGGGAAACTTGACTTTTTAGCACTTTGTCCATTCAGGACAAAATGACAGGTTCTCTTTTACGAACTAACCCTCGCCCCTATTTCTGTTAATCCTTGCCTTTCCTTGAAGCCCGCCTCCAACTCCCAGACCCAAATTTATTTCAGCCAGGTCCCACTCATGTGGCTGCCATTTACATAGATCAAATTACAGGGAAGCCCAGCTCTGAATCCCGGCGCCCTTTTCGGTATATATATAGCTAGCGCAGGTAAAATAGGGCCCACTGCAGTTTTTTTACCTGCTCTGGAACGGAACGCTGCCATGTGAACTGGAGCTACAAATACCATTGGAATACATTGGACACAGTTTTGCTCCGGTCTGTAACTGTTCTGCTCTGCTCCTGGAACGCGCTTGGTGTGAACAATGCCTTGTAGTTGGTCAGTGAACCGTGCGGCTGGTGTGTGTTTAGGAGAGAAGCTTATTTCGATAATGTTTTTTTTTTTTTTACAGAGACAAAATAGGTTTTATTTTACAATCTGAGCCGCCCCACCATTGGAAACTTTCATGAAGTTTATGTTTAGACTGCGGCATTTCTCAAAGTTTATTATGGAAATACCTTCAGGATTATTTCTCACAAGATTAGACAGCCTTGGGGACGCATTATTTTAAACACACAGTATATGCATCTGTTTTGACAAGTAGCTAAAAAAAGATAATAAAACCGTCTAGACAACACCAGTCTTAAATTTCAAGCGGAGATCAAATCCTGAATTATTTTGCACTGTGCATGGATGGGACGTTCCTATGGGGGAGAGGAATGATAGGTTTTAAAGCAGAACATTTTTATTTTATTTTTATTAAGGGCTTGTTAGTGTCTAGGTTCAAAAATAAAAAAGTCATACTCGCCCGAACCTCAGAGCCTCATTTTAGGTAAATATTTCCCGTCACAGATATCTATCTTCATGGAATTCCGCTTTAATGGTACATTGTACCATTGTAATGGTAAATAAGTGAAATGGAAAGGAACAATGGAACAAACATAAAGATACCTTGCCGCACTCTTTACCGGGAAGCTCCAGATGAGATGAGGGGGGGGTGCTCGCAGTGACAGCGGATGGCGCCGCCAAATAGAACAAAGTAAATGGATGTCACCAGTACACCAGCGGTATTGCAGTCCAAATGTCATTGCTGAGCCTGATGAAGGGGACCCTGCGTGGCCCCGAAAGCGCTAGCTCTGGTGACATGACGTTCCAAAAAAACCAACGTTCTCGAGATCCGCTGTGCCCGGTGCAACTGGGACCGACACGGTGAGTCTGTCAGTGGAGATCAGTACACGATCTCCCTTTTGATCCCTCCCCTCTCCCCAAATGCAGGAAGTTACATCACTTCCGCATTCCTCTGTCACTCTCCGGTACAGAAGCCAGAGAGAAGCTGATAAAGCAGTTCTATGCTTCATTAGCTTCTCTGGGGGTCCTTAGGTGACATCAGGGGTCTTGGAAAATGACCTGTTATGTGAACTGGCAATCACATAGGGGGTTTCTTAGTCCCCTATGTGATGGCAATAAAGTTAAGTGTAAAAAACAATTAAAGCATAAAAAAAAGAAGCTAAAAAAAGTCACAAATAATTTTTTTTTTTAAATTACACAATATTTTTAGTTAACCCCCCCCCCCACATACACACGCAAACATGCGTCGCGTCACCAACGTCCGAAAACAACGGTTCGGCCTACATGTTACATGTCGCAGAGTGAGCAATAATTCTAGGGCCATCAATTACTGATAACACTAAACTGATGAGCGGTAAAAGCTTGTAAAGTGTCGCCTGTGGCCAATTTTGGCTGTAGTCGTTTTCTGCAATTTCATAGGGAAAGGGGGAAACAGGTGTTTTTGTTACAATATTTTTAGGGTACTCTTTTTGTTATATAGTAAAAAATAACCCCTCCCCCCCACCACCACCACCAAAAGAAAGCTCTATCTGTCCCCAAAAAATGGTATAGAATTAATTACAGTACAGCGTTGCATGACGTAATAAATATCAGTCAAAGTACCGCAGCTCTGAATACTGAAAAATGGCCTGGGCAGGAAGGCGGTGTAAACAGTGTGGTCAGCAAGTGGTTAAATAGGTGACCGGATAATATGGCGCCGCTGTTTTGCCCGGAGAGTGCCGAGTCCTGAGGCAGTGATTATGTTCTGGATGATGCGTACAGACAGGTTGTAACAAGCCGCGTGCTGCAATCTCAGGTTCCTGTATGACCTCCAGGAATATTCTGGTGTGATCTTGTTTACTATGAAGGGCTCTAGGATGCTCTCGCTCTTATCAGTAGACCTTTGTGTCAGTCGATCGCCGCGTTCTAATTATCACATCCAAGTGCTGACGCAGAACCTCGCCTTGTGAGCGCCAACGACGGCGATTTGAATCCCGTCTCCGCTGCCAAGTCTTTCTGCAACTAGTAATTTGTGTTTTTAGCAATCCCGGCTCAGAGCTGTGAAGCTGACTGAAGATTTCTTCTCTCTGAATAATTCCGTTTCCTGACATGTGAACTGAAACGTTTTCTTTTTCTTCCACTGACGATAAAGTTATTTCGAAGCTTAAAGGAGAACTATGAGGTGAGTGTTTTTCACTCACCTCATAGTTCTAGCCGACCTATGACAATGAGACTGTCACAGGTCGGCTCAGTAGATCGGGAGGTGAGCGAACACATACCGGCGTTCGCTCACCTCTCGATCCTGTTACGGCTCTCTGCCGTGACAGGGGAGGGGCTGGATTCCCCCCTCCCCGCTCCCCTCCGCCAGCGCTGACTGGCGGAACAGATGGGGGAGGGGGCGGGTACAGCTGGCTCTGCCTCTAGATAGGCAGAGCCAGCTGTCAGTCACGCAGCTGGGCGGATCCCGGCACTATTGTCGGGATCCGCTTCAGCTGCGGCGTCTCAGTATACCGCGAGCAGCAGCTAGTTTGTGTCCTCCCGTTACCCTAAGGAGAACTATGGGGAAAAGCCTTAACCCTATAGTTCTCCTTTAAAGTGAACCCGGCTTTATCCACGCAGATCAAAGTGACAGGTTCTCTTTGCAGTGAGTGCAAACCCCAATACAAAGAATGTTGTATTTTGTCGCTCGCCAGTGAAGTCTTCAGATGTCGTGGAGAGTCAACAGCACACGTCTGTAAAAACCTGGCAGTGAACCCGTCTCCGAATGTAGCAACAAACTAGGAAAAGGTGGAACTGCAGCCAGTCAGCCAAAACGATCAATTGAAATAGATCGATGAATTGTACGGATGTGGCGGCTGCTTTTGTTTTTTTTATTTCCAAGCTTTTGTTCCGTCTGGTGAACTTGCCGGTAACACTTCCTGTGCTAGAGTGACAACACTCACTCACTGTACTGCATGTAAACTACAGATACCTCCCCTTACATCCATTACAAAGGAAGAAAGGGTTGTGTAGATCACAGAAGATAGCTGGCAAAGCTGATCACATTGTATGGAGGAGCAATGATGTCACTATAGGGTGCTATCCTGATTTAAACTACAAACCTCTCCTCACATCTATTGCATGAGGAAGAGGGGTTGAGTAGTTCACACAAGATAGCTCACAAAGCAGATAACATTATATGGAGGAGCAATGTTGTAACCATCTGATCTTCTGATTTTAAACCGCAAACCTCTACTCTCATCCCATCCATTATATAGGTGGTAGGGGTTGTGTAGTTCACAAAAGACAGCTGGAAAAGTTGATAACATTGTATGGAGGATTAGTGTTGTCACCATAGGCTGCTCTCCTGATTTAACCTACAAATCTTTCCTCCTCTCCTCACATCCATTACATAGGGAAGAGGGGTTGTGTAGTTCACAAAAGACAGCTGGAAAAGTTGATAACATTATATAGAGAAGCAGTTTTGTCACCATAGGCTGCTCTCCAGAGTTAAACTACAAACCTCCCCCCTTCTCCTTTAGATCCTTTTTATATTCTAAGGGGTAGTGCAGTTAGCTGGGAAAGCTGAGAAGATCGATTTGAGGTTTCAGTTCAGTGCACAGGAAGTAACTAGGACACTGAATTTCTGGCAGGATCAACTGGTATATTCTGTACTTGCAGAAAATGTACTCGGCCTAAAAAAGAAAACTATTGCAGTCGGAACATCTAAGGGCTGATCACCTGCAATATGAAATTTTTGTTCATGGGTTTAGATCTCTTCAGTGCTCCCGTCCTCCCCAGCCGCTCATACTTTCGCTGTACTGCTGCTAAGTTCAGCTGCTGGAAGTGAAGAGAGGAAGTCGGTGTAAAGCTGGGAAATTTGAGCTTATGTTGGAAAACTGTCGGCTGAGCAGTGACCGCAGCCAATCAGATAGCCGATAGGGGAAAGTCCTCCATCAACACTGCGTAGCCTGGATGGGGAATCAACTGATTTCTCTCGTTTAGCCCGCAGGAAGTGAGCATTGTTTACATCGCTGTAAGGTCACATGACCTTGTCACATGGCAGGCATAGGGGGTGGTGCTGTTCCAGAAGCCACTGTCATTCAAAGCATTGGGAGGCAGATCCGGGGGGCGTGGCCTGTGATGCTGGGCTTCCTGAGTGTGTCAGCACATGGAGCATTGACACATTGGATGCAGTCTCAGCTGGGAGTGCGCACGTAGGGGTGGCTACGCCGGAGCTCCAGGGGTCCCAGAAGGGCAGCAATAGCCACCCCAAAATTAGAAATGTAGGACAGCCAAAGGGGACAGCAAGGAACTAGTAGGTAAGGAATGCTGCTAGGTTTATTTTTATCTAATGAGGGTTTAAAGTTGACTTCTGGGCATGAAAACGTTCATACAAATATATTCTTCACTAGACACAAAGGCTATAAATCCGCTTTGTGTGCACTGCATGTCTTTACAAACCCAGATATAAACTTGTAAAAGAAGCAGTGACATCATCACTGTGCTGTGCACAGCCTGTACAGAGAGCAGAACTGTGGGAGGGGCACATCAGGCTCCACCCACTACAGGCTGCCTGCAGAAAACTA